TTCCGGGACAAGAACAGTAAGGAACTGCCCGCACGACGCAGTTTTCTGCTGCCAAAATAGCAGCCATCTTGGTCTTCGGCTTGTAATTGGCCCATGCATAGGCACTTTTTGTTTAGCTGATGTTCCCCAGCTTCTACCTTTATCAACGAGGTGCAGGAAATCGGGCTCCGGGTTTGGATTTTTGAGGGGCTCCGGCTCGCAGTGTGTGTGTGCAGGGCCAATGCTCGAAGCCCAAACCCTACATCTCCTCAGCAAAGCTTGCAGCTCTACAACTCTGCAGTGTTACGGAGCTTGATAGGCTCAGTGGTTTCTGTCGGACGTTCTGGGTCCGCCATCAAGACACCACGGATAAAAGACACTTGGAGTATCTCAGTCGAGTCTTGAGCCATAAACAGAAACCCTCCTGTCTGCCCAAATTCGAAACTGCAGAACCTAAACCTCGGCACACCTGAAGCCCGAAGCTGCGATCGAAGTTCGTCATCCCTCGGCTACACACACACACACCCATTTTCCGTACCGGCCAGAAACTCATCTCTCAAGATTCTGGTACGCAGTGCACACTATGCCTTAAGAACAGGTCGAGAACTTGGACTTCGGAACGAGGTGTCTTCGACCCAACTCTACACTCAAACCGCGTCTCAGACCCCGGCCCGCTCCATGACTGTCCTACCACAGATGAGCCAGCACAGGGTCTGGCCTTTCGGCCGGCTGGCAGGCTTAAGACGTTCGGGCTGATGAGGGGTGTTGGTGCTGCTTACAAGAAGTGCGTTGTGGGGACTCGGAGGCTATTGCACAGACAACGTCCCGGCTCATGTTGCGGGCCTCGCGCCTTCAAATCGGTTCAGGATTTATGCATCAGACCTGTACCTCTTCTTGGGAGACGTCCACCATCTGCAGAGCATTGTGATTGGTACTGGCTCAACCAGAATCCTCTCCAAGGGCACGAGCATGTTGTCCCCATCGGCACGAGGCAAGCATGGAACCTTGCAGCTCACCCATTGTAAGGTAGGGGCTGAAGCTTTGGGCTTTGCAACGTGGCCATGTCGCTGCTTTAGGAGGGATTTGCATTTAATCAACTTCTTTGGTGATTGGAGGTTGGGTGTTGTGTTATAGCGTGTTTCGATCTCAAGCTCTGTTGCAGACAAACTGGCTGCCTCTTTCTCGTTTGTCCGCTCAAGCAGGAATCAGCTCTCTTGCCAGATGTGCCGAAAAGCAGAGTGCAGCTTACTGCTTACTGATACGCTAGCCTCAATGGACTAAGATCGGAACGATTTTCGGCTTCTCGGTTTCAAGGTCCAAGGGTTCTCACGACAAAAAAGAACCTCTGCCTGCCCACAGTGCAGCTCGGGCAGACAGAGATGACAACGTGCCCACCAAAATGGCAGACTACACAAGCGCACCAGGCGAATGCTCGCAACTGGTTTAATGTAGGCTGCGAGCTCAAGCTCGGCACCTGAGGCCGTCTTTCTGTCGCTGAGATTACCGCTTGGCCGCCGGACTTCCGACTCGGGGATTGGCCTCCGCCGGTGCCCTCAGCCATGAACTCTTCCAAACTCACGAAATTAAACGCTGCTGTGTTCGATGCAGAGATTTAAAGAATATTATCTTTCTGTTCAGCGAGCGGCATTGCGGGAATATGACATTATGAAGCCTGTATGCAAAATCCGCGTGCGATTCGGAGTCAAACGTCGAGCACCCCGAAAAAAGGCCTCTGCTCTTAAAGCTGCGATGGGCTTGGATTTAGTGGGCCAAATACTGGAGTAGTAAATACACTGCGAGTTTCGGTCCGAGCCTTCACTGGCCGAGGGCACGAGCTGAAGATCGGATTGCAGGAGTTTTAAACTCATGTGGCAGTCCTGCCGGGCGCTACCGCATTCGCGGAACACACCACCGAGCAATGAAAAATGTGATCAAAAATGGCGCGTTGTATTATCGAAGCAAAGGCTCCCGAAAATCGTGGTGCAATAGGCATACCATGCCGTAGCCCTGGAACCCAACGCTAGCAGACCAGGTCTCATCTGGAGGCTACTAGTAGCAAACCTGTTCAACCAGACTGTCTTCAGTTTCGACGGTACAAGCCTCATGTTAGACCCCAATCTCCGAATCTGTATGGGGGGCAAAAGCCACGCAATTTGATCCGGACATGGTCGAGGGCACACCCTGCGCACATGCGCGGAGAGTTTGAGGCGCCCCTAAAACGAATACAACAACCCCAACCACCTCCATCACCACCCACCATCATCAGAAACATCATCAACAGCATCTTCTGCAACACCACCATGATCATCACCGTCACCACCAGGATCAGAATCATCAACGTCCTCCTCCACAGCCTCCTCATCCTCGGCCTCCTCCTCCTCCTCCTCGTCCTCCTCCTCGTCCTCCTCCTCGTCCTCCTCGTCCTCCTCGTCTCCTCGTCTCCTCGTCCTCCTCATCCTCCTCGTCCTCCTCCTCCTCGTCCGCCTCGTCCTCCTCGTCCTCCTCGTCCTCCTCCTCTCCCTCCTCCTCGTCCTCCCTCCTCCTCCTCCTACATTCTCCTCCTCCTCCTCGTCGTCGTCATCATCATCGTCATCACAATGAAGAAACATCATCTGCACCAGCCACAAACGCTACAGTTATCATCGGGCATGCCTTGACTAAAGTTTCGGGAGCCAGAAGCATGAGGTATCGATGAGTGGAGGCTCTGTCCCTGTCCTGTCCCTTGTCGTCAGTCACGACTCAGCGCACAGCAGGGAGCTTATGACTTGGATGATTTGGGAAACTGGAGGTTCATGTGTTTGGCATTTTATAGGTCTCGCGCTTCATGTTTTGCTGTTCAGCACCTGACAACCCCGATGCTCATTGATTTTGCTGCAGCGCGATGCATTGTGGCCTTCACGCTCGAAGCTGAAAGACCCCGGACTGGTCAGATACCTCCATCTCAACGATTTCATTTGTTCAAAGACCGGCTTGCTTCTTTCGAAATTGAGTCCCATGGGCCCCTAGTATGGGCCCTGAACCCTGGGATCCTTATACACCTATATGTACCCTTAAGGGTCCCCAGAAAGGCCTAAGGGTCCATATTAGGGGCCATACTTCTAACTTTAGGTTGAGGTTTGACTCCGCATTGAGTTTTAGGAGCTCGGGGTTTCGTTACGGAACGGTCTGACCAAAAGCCTGTGTGTTGAGTCTGCGGCTGGCTAGGTTCGTGTTGGACCATATGGCTGCAACCCTTGAGGTTCAGCTCGCCAAGGAAATGCTCACAGAAGCACGCCAAGCACATGTCTCTTGGCCCGAACCCCGCACCGGTCGCGAACTCAGCTTTGAAGGCTCTCAACGAGAGAGCTGGGAGCGCCCCAAGCATGGGGACTCAGGAGAATGTAAGGTAAGGATGTAGCGGGATTTGAGGTATGACAAGAGGGGTCTGGCACCCTTCGCCCCGAGCCAGTTCGGACCGGGCAGCGGTCCCCCGTGCGTTGCAGTGTCTTTCCAACTATGGCTGAATCTGATTCCGACAACCCGCAGGCGTCAAGTGGCGTACAAAGCGAAATCAAGCATGCCTAGTCCCGCAGAGCAACATAGCCCTAACCACTGAAATACGAACTGAGCACTTGAACACCACCAACAGGGCCTAAAGATCTATGTATACATGAAATAGCGCCACATAACACGACACAACATAACATAATATAACATCACATCACATAACAACATTGACGTTGACGATAGCCTTAACGTTGACAATAACATAAGCATTACCATTCGCATTAACATTAACATATAAAACACCACATGACATATATCCGCGCATCATGCATGCATGCATGCATGCATGCATGCAGACGTACATCAACATAACTGACATACATGGACACAAATTGACAGTGACGTGCATTGACAAATGTTGCCATACATTGCTGTGCACTGGCGTACGCACCCTGACGCCTCTAAGGAAATGTCGGGTACAATGCGACTCTCCGTGCCACGGCGAGTCAAACAAAACTGCTGGGAGTGGTTGAATTCGCGCCCGAGAAAATTGAAGAAGGCGCTTCGGGGCTTAGACATAAAGTTAAAAGAAGCTTCCGACATTTTGCATTGAGGAACTGATACAGTTGCAGTTGCATTTTCACAAGCCTGGCGCGATTGGGCGTGTTGAGGGCAATTGCCTAGCCTTGGAACCGTTTGCAAGGTTCGTTGTCGGGAAGGCTGAGCAAACCTTTGGGGCCCGATTCGGTGTTGAGCAATGGATTTCTGGGTGCCTGGAAGCCAGCTGCAAAAACTGAGAACATGTCGGGCACCCTGAATCTGAAGACGGCCAAATAAAGCCCACATGCCCAAGTATGCCAACACTCGTCCCTGATGCCTCGACGCTGCATCAATCTATACCCGCAGCCCTGGAGCCTCACCATACCATCCTAAGCTCAATGCAATGTCTCGTGTGCGCTGCACGAACTCGACCACCCCGACTGCAAATTTTATTAGGACTAAACAACCAAAAAGCGCTTTACGTGAGCCAGAGTCTTTTTGTGGTAGTCGGCAAGAAAGCACCGATGGTGGATGGTGAAAGCAGCTCTTGAATCGGGTGTCCATGCTTGGTTCTACGGCTTCGAGATGTAGTGGGGCATTGAATGCGGATCTGCAGGCCAACCCCGAAAGCATTTGTGTGGAATCTGTTGTTGTCCAGGCTCGAGCTTTGCTACAGTACACTTGGCGATGGTGGTGGTCGCCTGCATGTAGGGACACCCTGATTCTTTACCAACTGTATGAACTGCAGGTCGCGCTCCGGTGCCAGAATGCAAATCAGAATCCCAAATTCCGAGTCCAACCGGCAGCTATGTTGAACCCTCGCGACCCAACAATACCAGAAAGCCTAAACGCGAAAGTGTACATCATCTCTTCTGGTGTGTGGCGGTGTTGAACGAATATGGGGCTTGCGGCAACAGCAAGGCCAGGATCCAAACACTGCAACTCTGGACCGTCAGCGACATGCGCTTGGAGATGTCAAGCCCCCCGGCCAGGCCCTAGGATCCAAAGGCAACACGGACCCCTGGATGCTTGATCACGGCCGCCAGATAGCCTCGCAGGAGCACACTGAACTACAATGACACCCTAAAACCCCGACTCTACCATGAAATCCGAACCTGGGCAAATCTCCATCAAGGCCCATATAAAAAGGAATATAAAGGAATACTCAGCCCAAGAGACCACACGGCTTCCGCGGCAGGCCGTTGAGACGGCCACTGCAATTCCTGAAGGCCTCCTGCGCATAGTCTTTGGTACACCGGGCTCTTCGGTAATGGGGTCGGTCAAACAGTCACTGATGAAAAGTCTTCCTGTGGTGTTTCTGCTGGTGCCAAGAAGATCCCCAGAAGAATGAACGTGAAACTAGGAAGGCCTTGCTCTCCGAAGCCAGAGCCCCAAAAGCCACGTATCGAATGTCTTGAAGTCGATGGGGACAGCCGCGCTTGGAAGCCTGGAAGAGCCAAGCCTTGGAGCCCTTGAAACTGCAGCTGCAACAATAGAAGTGTGGTGTTCATACAAGACGTGCCTGCATTGACAGCCTGAAGCCAAAAACACCCTTCCTGAGGATAAGTCCGTAACGCAAACAGCACTAACAACCCGGGCCAAGCCTTGTTCGAACTTCCCTCCACCCGAGAGAATGTGGGGATTCGGTGCGAGCACTTCTATATCCTGAAACCTGCAAGCCTGTTCCCCACATCGGCAAGCTGTGAGAACCCCTCAGCAAATAACAGGCACCCATCAAATCCCTTTCTTGCTTGCCCCACCCATCCAACAGCCTGGAAGGAGACCGTAGCACAGGAGGGTTCGGAGCCATCTTTGGGCCAAACAGCAAAACTCACCTCGAGGCAGTGCAAGTAAGCATTTGTGGTTTTTCGGCATTGTTCACAGCCGTGCAGCGAACCATATCACCATTGTTGCGCTAAGCATACTTCTGGTTCGCTTCACGATGACGATACTGCTGATTCTTCGTGCAGCAGCAATTATGAAAGAGCAGGAGTGGTGTAGTAGTAGGTGTGAAAACAGAGGAATGCACTTAACTTTCGGTCACAAAGCAGGGCGCGCCCAATCGAATACCCAGCAAGCAAAGCAGAGGCAGAGCAAAGCAAAGCAGCAGATGGAATCGGAGCTTTGGTTTCAGTAAGGCTAACTACTCAGCTAAAGGGCAACACCTACGCTCCGTAGTGCAAGCGGATCTTTTGCTGAACCTTGCTAGGCAGGTCTCGAGCAGTCAAGCTGCAAGTGAAACAAAGTTGGCAAGAACCTAACAAGCAACCAAGGTGTACAGTGCACATGTTCGCGAATCGGTGACAAGTCACACCCCCCTCGACGCGAGCTCACGCGTGAGTGAAGCGGAATATAAAAGTGTCACGCAACTCTGAATTTACTTCGAGCCATGCGTCTTCCGGAAGCTTTCAAAGCTTGAAGCAAAGAGACCATTATGCATGGGTCGATTCTTGGTTCTTGATCGAGCCTATGTTTCACGCTGTACATTCGCAGCCTATGCGGTGCGGATCGAGTTCGGCCCACACCCGTTTCTTCACATCGGCGCTCTCTCCATCGAGGTCCATCCCGTCTTCATCGGAGATGTAACCAGGTTCCACTTTCACGAAGATACTATACGCCATTTTCGAGGTGATCTTAGCCAGATGCATCGAAAGAACTTTGGAGTTGACCTGAAGGTATCGCTTGAATCGCTCCTCGTTCACGATGGAACCGTGGAAATGGTCCATGGCAGCAGGCTCATTGTAGAGCCTCATCTTACATCGCATTTTGCATGCCAATTGCACATCGTCCATTCCCCGGCGCACTTCCATCAGGCACTGCATCCAGTTTTCATCGATCGCGGCGGGCGAAGCACCGTCGGGGACATAGTGAGGGTGCAAATATCGCGTCCGCAAACACTAACGGTATGCCTCTCGACAGTGCGTAGACCAATGAGCGTAATATCACAGTGGCTTTTCTCGGCAGCTCAAGAACATCGATCCAAAGTGTGTGACGACAGCAGAGGACTCGTTACGATTTCGGAAGAAATCCTCCACAGTGATCTGCTCGAGTTTGCCAGTCATACCGGCGACCAATCTCTCAATCGAGATGTCAAGCCGAATTGCGCCCTGAAGGGTGCCTCTGACATTCTTCTTGAAGAACTCGATCTCTTCTCTCGAGACAGTCACGTTCGTGCACTTTATCGGTGGCACGCCGAAAAAAGCCGTCGTCTGGAGGGTTCTGGTAGACTTTCAAGCTTTTGTGCGGGAGAAGCTTGAACTCCCGCTGATTATCCTGAATGATGGCAAGCACCAGCCATTCTGTCAACCCAACGTGCATGGCAACGTTATAGGGATCCTTCGGCTCGAGGCGATACATTCATTCCATCCGGGAAAGAAACGGCATCTCCAAGTCCGCGTGCTTTTCGCCATTTGTCAGCTCAGGCCCACCTCCATATGTTGGGCCGGCGATGTACTTGAATGGACTGTCGAAAATGATCGAACCAGTGTCAACAAAGTACCCGAGCGAAAGGCATGCCAGCGGGATATTATCCTTAATCATGTAATATCTGCATCTGTGGAAGTATACCTTGTTCGGACATCTTGCATGCATGTGAAGGATCGGCCGCGACTAGACGATCATTGAGGTTGCTTTTCAACTGTTCAAAACTGTCATGAGGTGTCTTATGATCGTCGATACGTCGTTCATGAGCGAGCTCATAGTTCCGACGGTTTTCATCCAAAATCTGGCTGATCTCCGTACTGAATCGCGCACGGAGTTCATCGACCTTGCCCGTGAGCCCATGGCCGAAATCGATGGCCGGGGCCGGGTGGCTCGGTGTTGTTATCGGGACACCAGAGCCACCACCGCAGTGTCGTGCGCCTGTGGTGCTGCAGGAGAGAGCGCAGCCCGCAAAGGGCAGAGCGCGGGTGAAAGGATGCGGGACCGCATTCGCATGGCCCCAAAACGAGCCCGAGCGCCCAGAGTGATGGATATGGGTCGTAGGTTTGTAGAGGGTGTGAATCGAGAGGTAGAAGCAGCATGAGCAGCACTCGCAGAATAGCACGGCAAGGCAGGCAAAGCACGATCGGCAGCAGAAGCAGAGGACTGCGGGTTGCACGCGTTGCTTGTCATAGCGGCTGCGCAAGGCAAAGGCGGCACTTGCTGCGGCAAGTTACTCTCATCGACCTCGGCAGGCGAGGCATGCGAAGGCGTAGCAGCAGCAAGGCTGGCAGGCATGGCAGGCGAGGCGAGGCGAGCTGTGAGATCACTATCATCGGGCTCCGCGTTGTTTCGAGCGACCGGCGTCACTAGTGAAGAACCGACGGTCGAAGGAAGACGGGGAGACCCAATCGGTGTCACCGTCTCTCTGTGGCGTTACTTAGCACAAATCCGAACAAGGCAAGTGGCGCCAGGATGTCAGCTGTGTTTCAGAAGCTTGTCGATTGCAAGGGGGGGCAGCAGCACGCAGAGATACACAATCGGAAGCAAGAGGTCACAAAGCAGGGCGCTTCCAATCGAATACTCAGCAAGCAAAGCAAAGGCAGAGCAAAGCAAAGCAGGAGATGGAATCGGAGCTTTGGTTTCAGTAAGGTTAACTACTCAGCTAAAGGACAACACCTACGCTCCCTAGCGCAAGCGGATCTTTTGCTGGACCATGCGAGGCAGGTCTTGAGCAGTCAAGCTGCAAGTGAGACAAAGTTGGCAAGAACCTAACCAGCAACCAAGGTGTATACATGGTCGCCAGTCGGCGACAAATCACAGTAGTGTAGTGAGAGTAATTAGTAGGAGTAGTAGGCACAGTGGGAGTAAAGGGAGTATCAGGAGAGTATGAGTATTAGGAGAAGGACAGGGAAAGCAGTAGTAGGAGCAGTAGGAGTAGCAGTAGCAGCAGCAGCAGTAGCAGTACCCTGCGCGTCAGGTTTTGTCAAACAAGTGAAGAAATGAACTTATCAAACTTTAGTCGTAGTAGTGGTAGTAGTAGTAGTAGTAGAAGAAGAAGAAGAAGTAGCAGTAGTAGCAGTAGCAGCAGTAGTACTAGTAATAGTAGCAGAAGTAGTAGTCGTGGTCGTCGTCTTCGTCGTAGTCGTCGTCGTAATAGTAGCAGCAGCAATGGCAGTAGACGGAGCAGTAGTAGCATGAGCAGGAGCATGAGCAGGAGCAGCAGCAGGAGCAGGAGGAGCGGGAGGAGCAGGAGCAGTGTGGCGCAGTGCAGGGCAGGGTAGGGCAGTGTCCTACCGAGCATCTGCAGTGTAGTTTACTGTGGTGTTCTGTAGCGTACCGTAGCGTAGCGTAGCGTACTGTTCTGTACTGTACTGCAATGGACGGGGACCAGGCCCGGTGCCTGACGCTCTCACTGCCAAAATCTCAATGTCAACAAACTTCGAACACTTTGGAAAGGCACTGTAACGCAGTCGTAACCTTTTATACCAACAACCGCTTCCGGCCAAGTCAGGGCCGAGTGGCAGTCTGAGACCATAAGTCGGCGGTGACCTATCGCCGTGCTACATGCTCTCGTTGTTGGACACTGGGGCTTCGAGTTTAGGGTCGCGGTCCGGGATGCGCGGCAGGCTTGGGTTCGAGCTGTCTGAACCTTAGACGTCCGACAGGTTGTGCTTATGCAATCGCAGAAAATACAACACTCCGTGCTTTGTTTTAATGATGCTAGTGCTACTAATGCTGCTAAAGACCCCGACTCGAAGCCCTCGGTCTCCTCATACTGCAGGGAGCTCACCTACACCTGAAACCACAAATTGCTACAAATGCCCGAAACGCTGACCACCCACCTCCAGCCAGTCCCCGACCTCGAGCTGCCTTGGGAGAAGCACTCTCCACCAGACACTTGACACAAAACCTTGATCACGACGCCTAAGTCTTAGGATCTAGCTCTTAAAGAGCTTGATGCAAACATCTCCCCATAGACCTGCAACTGAACTCGCCCTCGGCACCACGTCAACTTCTCATGCCTTAAAGCCAACAGCTCGTCGCCAAACCAATTGCGGCCAGGCTACCGTACTTGCTGCGAGCACCTTTCCACTTCCTGGACGCATTCACTGAGATCGGGGTTTGGAATGCCGGCAAAGCCCAAACGCCACTAAAACAAATAACCCGCACACACAAAGACCTAAACAGTGGCCAAAGGCGTGGAGCAAGGAGAAGGTATTCGGATGAAGCGCTTCACGAACCCCTCATCTCGGGATGTTTTACGACGCGACGCAAGCCCCGGTAGCTTCAATATCAAGCTCGTCTGCCTACAAAATTGCACCTCGCACAAACCCCGACATCGCAGACCTTGAAAAGACAAAGCAGCAAACCTGCCACCGTCAAGCTTTGATCAAGCTTCGGTCCTTGGGCTGTGGCCTTGGGTTCAGGAGGTGAGTTTCAAGGGCTCGGGGCTTGGAGTCTCATTGCAGCACATATCAGTTTCAAGCCTCGTGCATGCGGATGCAGATTCGACCGGTCCGATTTGCGAAGACCGAGAAGATCTTCTGAATGTTCCTCGGCCACTTTACAGGCTGTTCTCCCGCCAGATGCAGACACTGAAACTCTGTGTGGGCAGGTTCCGGTCTTCAGACTTGGGACTGAGGCTTGGGGGTACGGATAAGCTCTATGGCAGTCTATGGATACGACGGATACGAGTTCAAGGCTGTCAAGCCATGCGTCTTCGTGCAGGGGAGATCGCAGCTGATGACGTAGCCAACGCCATCCGCGCTGCAGAGTTCGCCGTCTACGAACCTGAAAGCCGAATTTATGCCTCCACGTCTCTTTTCCCGTACTTCATGCTAAAGGTAACATTGTCAAGATCTGTCTAGCATTCGCTAGACTTGCATGCTACGATTGCATCGCGGGACCAATCCAGACCAACGATTGCTCACTGCCCAGTTGGAATTGTAGGGCTAGACTAGACCCTTAACCCTACAGAAACAGCTGCGGCCACCGGCACTGCACAGCATAGCGCTCGACGCCCTGAAAGTGGATCCGGCGCTCGCAGATGATGCTGAGACGGCCCTCACATCACATCTCAAGTAGAGTCCAGGGCTCCGGGTCCCACAATCTCACGTAGCCTACACTGGTAATACTAATACTCTACAACACGTCACTCAAGAAGTGCCACATATGAATCTACAAGACACGTGAGAGGGTGTGTTTCGAAGCTTTGCAAAGGGCATTGATTGAGCACAAGAGCCATCTGCGGGCTGAAGATGTGAACAAAGCACTTTAACAAGACCGGAAACCTCCCCATGCCCAACCTGTGGCCCATGCGCCTAGCTTTGAGAACTGAATCTTGAAGTGTCCAGCTGGGCCCAACCCACGAATCCGCCAAAACTACCGCCAACCTCGAAACCAGACACTGTTGAGATCCGGAATCCTTGTTGTTGCCGTGTGTGAAGGTGCGGCCATCGGCTTCCAACTCCCCCATGCTATTGCTTTTCTTGTGAAACCTCAGGGGCAGAAACTTCTCTGCTTGAATGCTTACGGATCTGGAGTTCCCCCAGCAGAAACATCCTGGGTTGCAGGTTGATCTGGGTAAAGTCAAGCAACGACTGTGTATATAAGTACTGATACGCAAAACTGTACATTCTACACTGCTAAACCTGCTAAACGAACAGCACACGGAGCGCGTCGAGGTGCCACGGTGTTGAATTGTGCTTATGGAGCAGGACTCAGGGCTTCTGGTGTGAGGCTCCATCCAGGTTTTCAAGCTTCGGGGGTCGGTTGCCTGTCACCAAAATCGGTGGTTTGGCGATGACGATGATGAGGAGGCGGCAAAGTTGTTACGAAAGTCAATGTTGTCGCATTAGTTAAAACCGGAAATCTGCAGCCTTGTTAGGCGGGCGAACCATGTCAGGAAGCCTGACGCTCGAACTCACAACAACTAAAGCCTTTCACCGACAGTACGAAAAAAGTTCAAAAGCCGAAAACCCCCAAACCGATCCCGAGAACTTGGCCCTTGAGTCTTGCTGCGACCCGGGACCGATGCTGGCGACCAAAAGGAGGTCTTCCAAGCGGCGAGAAGCCTTGAGCCTGCCACGAACTGAGTCTTGCAGTCTCACGCAATTGGGCATATCTTGGAATTACAGGGGGGTGTTTTACTGGTGGTAGGGGGTGGTGGGGGTGGTGGGGGTGGTGGGGGTGGTGGGGGTGGTGGGGGTGGTGGGGGTGGTGCTTTGCTCTTACAAAGCTGCCACCGCGCCCAAACTGCAGGAGTTAAGATCTGCAGACTGGAGCTTTTTGGCTGGCTGACGAGATATTGACTTGGCTTCTTGTAGCTTGTGAAGGTTTAGGGTTCAACTATGGAGATGGATGTCAAATCAGCTCAATCCGAAGAGGAGACGGCGTCTTTTACGGCGCCTGGATCTGCTTGTCCAGACCACTCCATGCTTGCGGGGCTGGACCCTGCAGCAGCCTTGTTGCATCAGGTTCAGCCTACGGACTAGTGACTTCATCACCGCCTCGCGGTACAGGCTTAGGGTCCAGGACAGACGTTCAGGAAAACAAAACTCTATGTCGATCTATCGATATCTACACGCAATTTTGTAATGTGAATGTGGGAAATAGACAAAAAATAGATGTACAAAACTATTGCCTGGCTTCACAGCCACTTGGAGATCCAGGCTGAAAGTCTCCGGTTTCGGACCTCATATCCTGCAAAATTTCAAGCGATTCGGGCAGAAGTGCCTGACAGCTGGAAAAGTGGGAAAGACTAAAGCCTCCAAGCTGCATGGGGTAGCCGGGATAGTTGTGCATTGGTGGAAAAACCATCCTGAGCTGACCGTTAACTTTCCTACCAGGCCCAGCAAGAATTGTATTATCGGCAGGTGGTGCTTTCAGGCTGGTTGAAGCCTAGTGGCCTAGTGGATTGCAAGCCTTGAAATGGAGCCCCCTGCCAGTTGTTTTCGACTTGGCGTTCCCTTAATTGGACTTTGCCACCTTGCAGCAAGTGCTGGTCATCTTTTCTAACCAGTCACTGGCCCGTGACTTTCCCACTCGGCAAAATGAAACTGATCCCAGACCTAGCCTGGCTTCCTTCAGGAAGTGGAGAAAGCCGAGAAAAGCGCTGAAAGCCTGAAGCCTGTGCAAAAAGACAACTGTAACCCTGAAGGCATCTCAAGTGTGACACCAAATGATTTTGCCCGAGTCCAGCAGCACCTTGCCTTTAGGGCTGCTTAGGGCAAGAGTCGGAACTGCAAACGATGGCGCCGGCACCGGCACAAACATGGCAGGGGTCGTCATTCCCGGATGCACCTCAGGCCGGTCGTAGTTTTGTTTGGAGCTTTGTCGTCGGGTTCGGGCGGAGCTGAGACATACTCGTAAACTGCACGTTGCCCCGCTCATCGAAACGTTGTACCCAATGATGGTGTCGCGTTTCTCCCCTGCAAACCTTACCTTCCAACCCCAACCAGTCTTGCCACGTCGAAGTCAAAGGAAGGAGCTCAACGGCGTTCTACAACTCAAACCCTCCAATCCTGTGAACCCCTGCAGACTGACCACGCCACGGTTGGGAAGCTCAAAGACCACCAGGCGGGTTTTACAGTGTAGAGGCGTTGGGTTTCGAGCTTTAGGCTTCCAGCTCAGCGGCAAAGGTTTCAAGCGGTGCCTGCGCCAGGGCGACAGGGGCAGCTGGTGCCGCTGGTGCCTGCAAGCACGCGCCAGTCCAGCTCAAAAAGGAAAAGAAGAGCTGCCGCAGCCACGGTCTTCTGTTCATGAAATCGCCCTGCAGCCATGCATGGGACTTGCCTGTAGCTCGCTCCTGGAAATCTTTGGGGCTAAGAGGGTACAAGTAAGCCAGTTCAGGTCAGCTGGCAGCCCTGGGATCTGTTCACTCTCGTCAGAACTAAGCCATCAAAAACCTACAGTGGCGAGAAGGTTCTTCGTGCTTTGGTACTGGAAGTAAGCCAACTGCGACACGACTTCCTTTGAAGCCAGTTGGCTATTGCTCTAAAGGTTGAACCAAGGCTTAAGGCCCTTCGTGAGGGCCGTCGATGAAGTTTGGACTGCTGGAACCTTGCGAAGCCAGCACAGAGGAGGCCAACTAGCACGCTCTTCTATCTGAACTACTCGGGAACTTTACTTGACGCAACTCGGATGTCCTTACAATTCTACGCTTCTTTTCTAGCGGTGCTATGGCAAGTTCATGAGATCAGTATCAACGTTACAACAACTGATCACTGTGATTCAGATCCCCACTCTGGTCTGTCAAGTCTTGCTCATACTCGTCTGACGGCTACTGATGCGCCTTTTGCTGCGGCGTTCCAGCTTTCGGCACCGTGGAGAGAAGAACACGAGGGCTGCACCGAGAGAACGGAAGGTGGAGGCTGGCGGGTGGGGCTATGAGGCTCAGATACAAAAACAATCAATATATATATATATATATACATATATTTATATATACATAACGCTTCGGCAGGACGAAGACATGCAGCGGAAAGCTGCATGTTTCAAGATGAACACACACACACACACCAAAGGCAGAAGCTTGAAGGAATTACTTCCCCTTTCACTTGTCTAGGCTTGACAGGCTTGCAGGATCTTGCAGAACTCCGGATCCGGGGGTTTCAGGAATTGATAAGCTTGATACCCACAGCTCGACACATTTTCTGTAGGCAACTACGAAACTCCTACTTTACGGGCAGAATGGTCAACTATGCTCCGGCATTGAAGCCACTTTCCATTGACAGAGGGTACTGCAACTGATGTGGTGTAGATTGGATTTCGCCATTGCCAAACAAAGCAAGTTGGAGATTGCGACCCGATGCAGCCTACAACCTGTTTCCAAAACCAAAAACCACAAGAACCGCAACGCCCCGATCCTCCATCCCCAAGCCTTCAAATCCAGAATCCCATACGCCTCGAAATCCTTTACCCCAAACCCTATCTCTTCTCCCCGCCTCGAACCGGGCTGTGCCGAAGGGCTGGAGGCTCCCGGAGGCGACATGTCCTCGATAAAATCCGTCCTTGGATCTTTGGTGGCAGTAGGTTCAAGGGCTTCTGGGCTTTGAGCCAAACTTGGTTGACCTCGCCGAGCCTCTCCGATCCGTTCTCCCAGGACACGGCCCGGGTGCTCGAAGACCATTTGTCATAGTCCGGAAGCCCTGCAGATAGCCGACTGGGCCCGGCACGGCCGTTCAAAGAGGGATGACAGCTTCGGGAGCTTTGAGCTTCAGCCTTGTCCACACTGAAGGTTCAAGATCTACTAATCTGGTCTGTTGTAAATGCGACATCATGGCTGTTGGGATAGACGCAAGAAGCCATCACGGCTCGGCCAGCGGCCCATGTTGTGAGCACAGTAGCGCAGCGGCGCTTGCACAAGTGTGGAGTCTGCAGCTCAAAACAATTAGGATACACAAAGAGTGTAAAACATCTGCTAATCAAGGTTTTAGCGAGGGCTCGGATAGCGCAGTGCCCAGGTACCAAATCAAATCGACATCCACCGCGGCGATGAACATGACAAGTCGAGTTCTACGATGCCTTGCCTGGAGCATCATCTTGGCTGTCTTCGCCATCTTTGCCGGTCGCGATGTCTGAGACCCTCAGGTCTAAGTCTCTAAGTGTGTGGGGATTGGGAGGCGAAGGTCTGTTGGCCCGTTTCGCTGCATGTGTGCTCGGTGCCTCAACCTCAATCAGACCAACCCGCGAAATAGCACCATAGAACTTCTCGATTTGGGCGTTCAGGTTTTAGGGACTTCGGTTCCTTCACCGCATTTCCCCAAGAGGACTGCAATCCTGGACAAGCAAGCACCATAACTTCAACAAGCATAAGTAATGGGAGCTGTCTACAGTGAATCCGGACTCCCTAATTAGTTCAGGACCCTGTTTGACAGCAAAACTGATCTCGAAAAGCTCTTAAACATCACTCCCAGATACCCTTGTGAAACATCCGAGATGGGGGGCTGCTGCGAGATGCCCAAAGGATCCCACCGCAGCAACCGACACCTCGAATTTTCAGCAAGTTCGGAACTGTGGAGCTTTGGGGGTGGTGCTTTTAAGTTTGGGGGTTGATTGCTCCTGCGTGTATTCTCTCTTGTTGCAAACGGATGTGCATTCAAGAAAACATAAGCTTGTCTAAATGTACATAATCATACGGATTATACGTGCACACACACACACACATCTGCTGTCTCCGGCCATCTTGAAGCTGAGGCGAAAACTGGAGTTTCCAGAGGTATCATAGGATCCTATCCAAGGATACAACGGTTAAGATATGCGAATTTCTATTGGACCGGCATAGTGCGAGCAATCGCCCGAGAACACCGTGAACCCTGAGCGGCACCCCTGCACTCCAACGGTGCAGGGTGGCAACCCCACCCTGCAAAGAGAATCCTTCTGCCACTGCGACGAGCGACGCAGCAGGGGCCGAGGTCTCTGGTGCTTCATGTTGGCCCTGGTGCAGTTACAATAAAGGCGCCGCTATGCGTTCGGTGGCTGAATTGCATCAGGTATCTTCAAGGTGTCAGAGCTGCGGAAGAATTCACGGCTCAACTTGGATGCAGGCACCTGTACCTAGTCTAGGACTATGTGTCTTGGGCGCGAAGAACATGTCCAGGCTGTACCCAGGAAACAGAGATTTCACACCGGATCACCTACTGATCACACAGGAGACAGCACGGGCTGAAGCCAAGAGAAGCTGAGGAACAAGCCTAAACCTACAAGGCAAGCTAAATAGCAAGAGCCAGGGGAGCCCCCGCGACCGGCAGTGAACCTGCTGCGCTGACACCCAGTGCGAGATTCCATCCTGTGCCGGCAGGGTACGGTGCCCGCTTCCCGGGTCTTGAATTTGTAGGTTTTGTGTTCCGCGTTCAGGGGCTGAACTGCACGCTGAGGAATGAGGATTCACGGCACGGTTTGCACCATGTTCAAACCAAGCTTCAGGGGGGCCGGAAAGCCGCGCTTTGTGCTACAAGCGCATGCCTGAACTCGAAACTCGGGAACCCCAAGATGTGAAACCAGACCCCATAGCATCGAAGCCGGCTCTTCCTCTTCCGGAGCCTCATCATCTGAGTCCAAGTCCGCCCAGCGTTTCCGGCGGGGCTCTCCCTGGCGACGGTTAATCCTTGTGGGGCTCCTTTCAATGCTCCGGTTAGCTCTGAATTTGCGGCGTTGGGAACAGCCAAGAGGCTCGAGGAGTCCGTGCCGGGATTTGGGCTATGCCTTTGGGACCCAAGAGTTTTTCGTGGGAGTGATTTGGGTCTGGTCGCATCTCCGAGCTCAGGCTCAACAGGCTTTTCGGCGAAGGCGCTTGGCGTGTCAAACCTTGAATCCCTGAACACGTGCCTTCCAAACAGACCTCAGCTCCTTGGGGCAGGGTCTCTAAAGGAAATCCGGCGCAGGGAGCCTTTGTAGAGCCGCTCTGGATAGGTGACAAGGCCTGCGGCTGAGCTAGTACACATGGGGGGATCCGGGATTTGCACGTGCACGCAGTTTAACCGCGAACTCTGGGCTGTTTTCACGAAGCTATTCAACTTTCATGCGGGCCAAAGCACCAGGCAAAGCACAATGCCTGACCGTCTCCACAAAGACCGAATTGCTTGAAGTTCTTGATGCGCCGGGATTCAGGATTTAGGTTTTAAGACCGCTTCTGCTAAAAGGTGACGTTGGCATCTAGGGCTGTTGAGGAATTCAAGACAGCAGGTAGGAGACCCAGCTAGTCTCAACCTGCCTCAGCGCAATGGAAGCATTCCATGGCCATGGCGTGCACACCTCCTTAAACTTGAAACTAGGTTCAGGCCGCGGCAGAAGACAAAACAGTCGTTGCATGTATTGCTCAAGTTGTCATTCTTGATCTTGCAGACATACCTGAACTGTGCAACAGCAATGCAGCCGCGGTCGTGCCTTGGAATGCTTCTCTCGTGGAGTGTAAAAGAGGTTGCCGGCAGCAGTGCAATCAGACTCGAGTCTGCTGTGAGGATTTGGCGTGGGATTAAGGATGACCCAAGCTGCAAAGCCCTCAGACCTACAAAAACTGCGCCCTCTAAAATTATAAATTATAGACACAAAACCTACTAATTACATTACGCCACCCCAAGAGCAAAAGGAAGCTCTCCAAGAATAGTAATGGCGACAAAGCCTCGCGTTGATCACAGTGTCACTCGACAAAAATTGTCGATAAAATGGATTGTCAAGGAAATTTGGTAACGCCTTCATCGCGAACGTCGTAATACCAGTGAAGCGCATACTGCAGCTAAATTCTAACGCTCAAACCTGGACCCTACGACGTTACGACGATAAACTATACAAACCACACACCCCAAATTCCTGGTGACAGTCTAATCGGTAAGCTTCGTGACCCCGCGGGTGGAGTTGAAAGAAAGGTTGGCTGAGAAGTGGATAAGGACAGCCAAGATTTCAACCGCTGTCCCGAAACCCCAAAACCCCGTGCTCCAACGAAACAAGCTCCGCACCCAGCGAGCATGCACGCCCAAAGCATGTCAGGGATGTCGCAAATGACTTCTTCCACCTTGGGAAAGCAGCAGCAGAGAGCACGATGTTGATCGTTATGACGAGCCCAACTCTTCTACGATAAGGGCACACTCTTTTGCCATAGTCGTTGAAGATGTAAGAGCTTACCACCTCGTTCCTGAGTAAGAACATGAAACAAGTCATGAATACAAACGGAGCATGCTTCTAGCACTACTAGAATACTAGAAGTGGTCGTCGTCGTCGTCGTCGTTGTAGCAGTGGTAGTGGAAGTGGTAGTATTATAGTGGTATAGTGGTAGAGTATAGTGGTATAGCGGCACAGTGGCATGGTGGCACAGTGATATAGTGGTATAGTGGTATAGTGATAGTGTGGTAGGGTGGTAGAGTGGTATAGTGGTAAAGTGCTATAGTGGCAGAGTGGTAGTGTGGTAGTGTGGTAGTTGTAGTGGTACCGTCAGTGGTCGTGGTCGTGGGAGTGACAGCGGTAGTGGTAGTGGTAGGGTACCAGCAGAGGAAGTAGCAGTAGCAGTAGCAATAGCTGCTGCAGCAACAGTAGCAGCAGTAGTAGCAGTAGTAGTAGCACTGGCAGTAGCTCTATTCCTAGCACTGGTGGAAGTGATGGTAATGGTCTTAGTGGGTAGCTTGGTAAGTACAAGGACGCAGGTACTAGATGGCCGCAGGTTTCGCTAACTAGTAGGTATGATCGTCGTCGCCGCGACTCTATGAAATCTCCTGGGCCGCAGGCGCTGCGCTTGAACGCGAGGACTCTGCGAATCCGACGGCCGATCCGCTCATCAAACTTCTCCCAGATCTGGGTGCGGGGCACAAAGGCCGACGGACTTGCGGATCGCGTTTGATACTTGTGTTTCAGATTTGGCGGGATGGTCTCCGACATCGTGGATGCGAACTGAATATCGCGTCATACTCCATCTAGCTGCTGGAGTTCAGCTCTGACTGACGGCTGAAGATTGGAAGCATTTACGGCGGGGTGATTTCCATGAGTTTGTGAATGCAGGCGCGTGCTCATGGATTTCAACATGATGGTGACGCTAGAGTTGGGAGCTTGGGGCATCAGGCTTGAGAGGTTGTAGAGTTGGGCATCTGAGTTCAGTGTCTGGGATGGAGCACAGTCGAAGCCTTGATTGCACAACATCTGGGCACTCGGCACTCAGGACTTGGGAAGAGGCCGAGACCTCTCCCCCACTAGTGAAGAATTTTGCAATCTGAAGACCAGTCCCTAAACGCCAACCCCTTAACCCTAAACCCCAATTAGTCTGATTGAATGCAATGAAATTCAGTAGATCCCCTGCCCACAAAAGTCAAACGTTGAAGCTGCCACTGGCAATCAGAGCAGGCCTACAGCTCTGGCAATGAACAACCAAAAACCTCAAAGTCCAAACAACCCAAATCCCTTGATGCCAACTCGCCAAAGTCACAAAGGAACGGATGAAGGAGGGGATCAGCAGAAGCCTTGAGTTTCCGGTCTTGACAACTTAAATCTCGGGGTTTTCGAGTTCAGCAGCTAATCAACAATCACTCGGTAAATGTATAGAGAGATTACGATGAGCATCCATAGAGCTTGTAAAGGACGCGCCTCTCTTAAGGTATTCCTGAAGCGGCTTTGCACTTGCACTGTTCCGAGTCATCATGGCTTAAAGGCTATGCGTTTGAGGAGATTTGAGGTTGGCACGGCCTCGAACCCGTCAACATTTCTGGACTCCTCTTGTCAAAAGTATGGCGTTGAGGAATTCTTTTCGGATATTCAGAACTGGGACCGAGCTGCCGGTTGGCTTAGAGGTTATAAGTTACTAGGTTTTCGGGATTAACATTCAGAGGTTGAGAGTTTGCGCGATCTTGCTGCACTGCATGCTTGTGGACCTGTTGAAATCATGTCTGCCCCCAGCAACTTTCCAGGGCACCCGGCCACAGAAGGTAGAGGGGGAAGAGGGCGATGCGAATCGCCAGCAGAACAAGGCACTTCACCACCTCAGAGTTTGGTCAAGTCCCAAGCCCCATGGATGGACACGTCGAATTCTTTTGAGACCTTAGCACTTTACAGGAAAAACCAAAACATCTCCAGTGCCGCGTACAATGCAACCCTCGGTCCGGCACTATGTAGATGTCGAACAGAGAGCGGAGAAAGAGCTTGACCTGAAGACATGATTTGGGCATCAAAGCTATGAAGGCCATGAAGTGGGCTCGCGGTTCAGATTTTGGCTCACGGCGGTGGCTCATTCTTGTAACTTCGGTATTTTCTGAAGGCTTAGGCTTCGACCTTCGGAGTTTCGCATCAGCCGTTGGGTGATGAAGGCCATTGAGTTGCAGGGGGTTCTTGAGTTCGGCGTCAAAGCTCTGCACAGACGCGTGAACTTGGTCTTGCCGCGTGTAGGACGCGGTTAAAGTTGGGAGTTGTAAGGCGGAAATCCGCAAGAACGACGTCAGCACCAAGCCAGCATCGCAGCACACCCAAAGCTTGCAGCCCTCAACACCTGAGTCCGAACCCTCGGTTGAAGTCCGAGACACTGGACTTCAAGCAAGCAAAGGCCCACACACCCTACAGCTTGCAACTCCTTAGTTAGGAAGTTGTGTTGGAGTTTCCACTGTTCAGGAAGCCATGTGCAACTTAAGTAAGCCTCGGTTTCAGCCTCGAAATCTCCAACACGAACACTCGCAAGGCTTCAGTCCCTGTTCACCTCCAGACCTCCTTCCGGGCATTGACATCGTCACCACGAACCAATCCCACCCTCGAAGCCCCAGACTCCCCCTAAGCCAAAGGAAAACTCCGATAACCCTAAACGATTTGCACCCCGGAAACTCTACCGGTGAATATTCGAGCTTATCTACTCCGATGCAAAAAGCGCCAAACCTCGAAAGCTCTGCAGCTGAAGACATCTCGAAAAGCTTGGTTCCAGTACGGCCAAACGACTCAGCTCAACAATTAGGACTCGATGGAGTCCAAAAAACCCTGTAAACCCGGCTGCCCTTACTCGGGGCGGGAACTCCGCGGTAGAGCGAGTAGAGGACCAGCACTGCTAGCAGCACCGGAAGCAAGCCTAAGTCTGTTCAGGATGTCAGATTTGGGGCCTTCGGCGTTTTAATTTTTGTTCAGCCGCAGGGACAGAAATAGTGAAGTCGTTGAAAGAGAACGGGTATACAAAGAGCAAAACATAGACACAATCCATCTGAAAGAAGTTGAAAAATCAACTGAAACAATCACATCCGCGAGTTGCAACTACGACATTAAGAAATACCAAAAAAAAGGTCAAAAGTCACAAAATCTCAGTGTTCCTTGAAGCCTTGGGAAAGTCCAGACATTGAAAAAAAAATGCCTAAACCCGACCTGACTGTGCAGGATTGACGGTTAAGAACAATATTTATGGGCGTGCTGGTAGATATGGCACGTTGCCTTTTCGATAAATATGCATATATATATATATATATGCAACCCCCCCCCTAAAGATCTACCATTTACCCTTCCAGTTTTGCCTCGCTTGGTTCGTCCAAGCAAGTATCTTTGCAACTGCAGGAAAGCTCGACTCAATGGATCGTCAGAATGCAACACATTGCTATGCTACGTGCAAATCCTTGAGCCTTGAACTCTTGAGACCTTGACTCATCTTGAGCCAAACTTGCGCTACATGAGGAGCACATAAGGATAGTAGCAGACGTGAGTGTGGTCTGGTTACAGGCTCATATTTCACTGCGCACATTGACTCGAGTGTG